TCTCTCTCTCTCTCTCTCTCTCTCTCTCTCTCTCTCTCTTTCTCTCTCTCACTTTCCCCCTCTCTCTTTCTAAACTCGAGTTCAAAGTTACGCAAACTTCGTTTAGCTTCAATTTACTTCTACTAACATTTCTCTTTGCTGAATGTGTCTTCTCACGGCTTGATGGTCCTGTTTCTTTCGCGGCAAAATTAGAAATTAAATTGTTCACGTAAACTGGATAAAACCTAACTAACGAAAACATAATTGCCTTGCACATAAACTATCGCGGTACTTTATTGCTTTTTCTCTTAAATTTACAACAATTACTGATGCGCTATTTGAATATATGTTTTTATTAATTCGTCTTTTGTAGTATTTAAGAGTAATTTTACTTTTATATTTCTTATAGTACTACTTTATTATCCTATGATTTTGTTTTACTTTTACATAAAAACATAATTACAAAATTTTTTTGATAAATAACTGTATGCTAAAAATCTTCTTTTATTTGTAATTAAAACATTAAAAAAATTTTTCTTATTTTCAGAATGCTCCACCGAATTATGAGGACGTTGACTTATCATTTTCATATATAAAAAAAGATTGCACAGGATTACGGTATATATGCATTCATCACGTTTCGTAAATTAATACAAGTGAATTATTTTACATCTAGAAAATTATTAATCTTAAATTTTATAATTTAATAGACATGTAGGAGCCTACGCGATCTTCCATCAAAATTTAGTGGAAGCAAACCTTTTATGCAGACATCAATTGTTCAGTCCTGCTGTTGACAAACTTATAGCGTAAGTTGAATGTAATAACAAGAAACCATAATTCGCGGAAACTTTACCAATCTTTATATTTTTATTTAAAAGAGTTTAAAAACTGATTATTTTTCTATTTAAAAACTGATTGATTATCTTATTTTTTAAAAATTGAATTTTCAATAATATGGTATTTCTAACTCTTTCAGAAATTGAATCCGTATGTGTTATTGTAAGTTATAAAATTTTTTTTCTTTGGGATGTCATTAACTCTGTGATTATAAGTTAATCAAACTCGCAACTCTCTCACATATAATGTCAAAAATAAATCGTAAACAAATAGTTATTGTCTAAAAATTATTTTCAAATTCTATGTGTATCTAATAAAAACTTCAGCAAAACCGATTTCGCCGAGTATAAGTAAATTTTAATTAAGCATAAAAATATTCAACCTCTATTCATAAATACTATAATAAATGAATCAAAATGTTAATAGTCATGGCTTACACGAAAAATTTTACAATACGCATTAACAATACATTTCCATCATTTGTAAATACGGAGACGGAAATGATAATTTTTGTATTTTAATTTTATGAATAACACTCAAAAACAAATCTAACTCGAATTTGCTTGTTATAGAAGCAACAAGACATTCGACGCAATCATTATCGAACAATTATGGTACCAATGTTATTACGCCCTCGTAAAGCACTACAACTTCCCCGTGCTGATTGGATTTTTGAGCGTAGGCAACTTGCCCTACGTAATGGATTCCGTAGGTAGGCATATCGTGCTTGTCGAACAACTTTCGTGGTTTCGTCGGCCTAGTAATTTTATTGTTTACGAAAGTCATCCAGCGCAGGTAACAACTGGAAATGCGAACCTGGTCGGACAGTCGTTCCGCAATGTCTCTTTACTGGGTTTGCACCCATCCAGGTTGGCATCGTCAACGAACGTCGTTACCGCGCGCGGAAATTGACGTAAATTGTCGTTAAAGCAGAAAGTGCGAGCAATCGGAGACCGGGTCTTCGTGGAAAAGGATAGATTACTAGGTAGTGCTTTAACTTGTACCGGGCTGACCCGAAGAACGCTGGAGAAAAGGTGGCGAAGGACGACGCGCCAGCTAGCCGCCATTCGATTCCTTTACCTCGACGTAATTGAAGATACCCGAAAGTACTCTTTCGGATGAACGTAATAGACCGTGAAATAGATCGCCGTGGCTGCTACTGAAATATTTCAATTACAGCCAAGCGAGTTTTGCGAGAGCGAACCACGTTTCAAAGTAGTAACGTTCCCTATTGATCCTGACCCAATCACTGAGTTGAGTTTTCGAAGAAATAGATACCTAACTATAACACATTGCGCTCCCTTCTCTTGACTTGCGAGAAAATTTACCATGTAATAACGCATTTCTCTACTCGTTCGAACAGAAGCAATAAAAGAAAAGTATAGTTCTAAATCTTTGAAGAACGCATCGCACTGTAGAGTACCTCTACTTGTAACCTATCACTCCCTTACTTCAAAAATGATACAATTAAAAAAATTAAGTTTCTTAGAAAAAAAGGTAGAAAACTATTTTTCAACTTGACAGAAAATTATTGATTAATCAAATGTCACATCAGCAAAAAAATTCATGTATGATCAAACATCATTTTTATATTATTTTAGTATTTTAGAACCCTTAATCCTACTCATCTGTTCATTATACGATTATATCGTATAGTGAGATCAATTATATCGTATAGTGAGATTAAGAAGCTCTAAAAATAAAAAAAATTACGGCAAAAGATCTTACATTAACAAATGAAGTGTTCAAATATCACAGAAAATGTTTTTAAATAAAATATTATTAAAATAAAAAAAATAAATTACATTAAAAGTGCTAAAAACATTACTAATGCCAATGTTTCATGAATCTTGCCGTTCACTTTATCAAGCGAAGAACACATATATACTTTTACATTACACAATTGAATATACTGCATTTTATAAGCAGCTAGTTTTAGAAACATTTTTTTTTATTTAAAAGAAATATTATAATACATGACTTATGGTTGGCAGGAAATCCAGACGATCCTAACTTTAATCCAGACATGACGTATCCATTCACGGATAGAATGACAATCAATGAGCGTATAATGAATATCCTTTACACAACATATACAAGATTATATTATCGATACTGGCATCTACTAAAGGCTCAACGCATAGCTAACGAACGGACTTCCGGCACATCCGTTTACAACATCGATAAAAATTTCAGTCTAGTGATTTTGGGCAACAATCATGTGTTCGGTTATCCAAAGCCGCTACTGCCACATGTGATCGAAGTTCACAGTTTGCATATTTTGGAAAACCCTGGTTCCTTGCCTAAAGTAAGTAATTATAATTCTTTTTTTTTTTTATTGAAGTCTTTTTTATCTTCTACCGAATTTAGCTCAATGTTTTTTCTATAAAATATAAAAGATGAGATAGAAAAATTGAACGATCTACTGAACAGTAATTTTGTTATTTCTTACAAATAGTAAAATGTCCAAAAAATTAAGATTATGATTTTCTTCTAATTCAACAGTAAATTTTAGTCTATTATGGTAACTAAAATTATTATATATGGTAACTTTCGAAAATGTCAATTCATCCTTGGGAGCTACAAGCAAGATGTCATCGATATGACAAAAAAAAAATATATAGATAATTACTCGAAACTCTTTCTTCCAAATCTTACATGACATGATATCTCTATTGTTAATTGACAACAAGAAACCTATGAGGATACCAAAAGTTTGTTAACAAATCATTGTTATTTGAAAAAGTAATAAATTTGAAATAAGGTAATTATAAAACGCACAATTGTAAGGACAAGACATATTGATAATTATCTTTTCTAATTAAGCCGTTTCCATTTACTTCAAATTTCTTTTAATCGTACATTTACGGTAAAAAGACATTTAGATTATAAAATGAAATTAAATAATTTAACGAGTTAAACGTATCGACATTTTTCCTACTTGAGTAACATCTAGAATTGATATTTTTATGTCAATTAAACCTTTGCTTCTCGTAGTTTTAAGTACACCTCAGAAAGAGAGAGAGAGAGAGAGAGAGAGAGAGAGAGAGAGAGAGGCGAAATTGTGTGTCGTACGAGAATGATTTCTCCCGGGAAAATACATACCATTCTCACAGGTGACCAATAATAGTCAGTTGGTAGAAGTTTACCAACAACTCAACGTAGCGATGTAAAAGTAAACATCATTGCTATTTACCGCGAATTGTTCTAAGTCTCCTAAGAGGTGACAAGAAAAATATTATTGAAAGGATATTTCCTTGAAAATCCATAAAAAAAATAACCGTGGAATCGTCTCTACATAATACTACAATAGTGGTTTGCGACTTTCGCAGTTAACCTAGATTCTAGAAATATGCTACCAAAAACATTCGTTTGTAACGATTGTTTAACATATAATTGTAAACTGACAATTTAATCATTGAAAGTGCATTTCTCTTTTTTTAACTTAAAACTAAAATAATTTTATACTAGTTTTTAATTAAAAATTAGACATTTTGTTGAAACATTGACCACACATTAATTTTAAATATATATTAAGAGAAAGGCAAACAAGTAGAAAAATTGAAAATTAACTTGATTTATTTATAAGAAAAAAGATAGTATATTAATAATAACAAAATTGTTTTGCTCTCTCTCAATAAAAAAAGAGAAAAACTATTTAACGTTTTGTAACTGCTTTTTAGTACCACCAAAAAAAAAAAGATTTTTTTAAATAAAAAAAAAATATATCTATACTATTAAATAAATATAACCTAACGCAAAGATGCTTAAAGATAACGTAACATCAAATGATATCGAGAACAGAACGTGACCGCGGCAATATGATCGTCTTTATATATACATAGAATATATCGAAATCCATGAATAGTTGTAATTAATAGGGAGGGAGGGGGGACAAAGCCTTCGGCTGCACATTGCGCATATGGAACCACCATTGCCGCCATGTCTACTATAAAAGCTAGCGCAGGTTTCGCAATTAACAAAGGAAGTTACATTATCAGTAATATCAGTCGTATTAATAGCACCATCGGTTCCATTTCCTATCGCAACAGTTGCTAATAATGCAGTTTTGAAAATATAGGTTACATAACGAATAAATGTATTTTATAAAACGAGATAGCTTTTTTGTCTACAAATTGATTACCTGATACAGCATCGTTTGCCTACATCATTTTTACCGACAGTTCATTTGTGCACAAAATTATTGCTTACAGCTCGATTGCCTACATGCACTTTTATGCACAAAAACAATTAAGGTTAAATTAGGTAAGAAAATAATTTGTATATTTTTAAAGCAGAGAGTAGTACGTGTAGTAGCCAATCAAGATTTCGAAGTAAGCAATCGATTTAGGTAAATGTGATATTCTCTTAAAACAAACAAACAATAACGCTTGTGATTCAATTATTGGGTTGGGGAAAAAAATCCTTTTACATATATCTAAAAAGACCCTTTCTCAACCCACCATTTGTTGCAAAATTTTCGTTGGTATATTATTCGATAGAGTAAAGTTTCAGCTTTAAGAATCTGATTGTGGCATCATGATTTTTAACGGAGTTATGAGCAATCAAAATCAGAATGCCCCTTTACTCGCGAATAATTGAGGAACAAAAAATCGTAGGAACATTTTTAAAATACGTAGAGAAACTTTCACGATATGCTTTCACGCATATTATATATTTTTGTAAATGTACAGAAAACATTAATTTTAGTTAATAAAAATAATGTAAACTATGAAAACAATTTTTCCGTTTATTCTATTAATTCAAACTTTGCTATTTATTGAAACTTTTGAGCAATATTGTATACAAAATTATAATAAATTAAGAAATATTTTGCAATATTTATGTATATTGCATGCCGCTTGTCATTAAAAATAAAAGTTGAACAAAGTATCACTAAATCATCATTATATATACGTGTCACACTTTTCAGGTCTCATTAAACGAAATTTTTATTAATATAATATTTCAGGATGTCCAGGAATTTCTAGACAATGCTCAAGATGGTGCTATTTATTTCTCTCTGGGCTCAAATCTGCAAACTGACCAACTACCCGCTGGACCTTTGACCGCATTGTGCAACGCCCTAGGCTCGCTTAAACAAAGAGTTCTATGGAAACATGCCGGTAACATGGCCATTCATGCGACCAACATCAAATTTGTAAAGTGGGTGCCTCAACAAGCAGTACTGGGTAAGGCTGCCCAAGGCTAAACTGACCAACTCTTTAACCTCGTTCTTTTCGAAAGAAGCGGATCAACTGCCGCGAGATATGCATTTACAAAATGGTTCGATGAGAAGCATTCTATACTGAAATTTCTTTGTGCTTGAAGATAGGGAATCGATAAAATTATAAAAAGAGAGAGAATATACTTCACAATCTTATTTTGATTTTATATAGCTATGGTCCTTACTATAATTACAATACACAATTAATATATTTTATTTTAACTTTAATAATAGATGCTTTATCAAATTTAAAACTATTTTTTCTTCGAAAGAACTATTAAAAAGCTAGAACAGAAGATATTGCAACATTGTAAGTTTGAAGATATTTAGTAATAGCAACACATAATTATGCAACGATGTACATAGTGAATAATTTTAACTGTTGGAGAATTTGCTATGGATTTAATTATTTAATTTAATCGCGCTTATGTAACACACAAAAATTTAATGCTTTAGCATTAAGATTTTCTTAAGATTTCTTAAAGATTTTCTTAAAAGGATTATCCCGAATTAATTATAAAATCTATTATAAAATTATGAAATTGTAAATTTTACAATACATATCGTATTCTGGTTAATTCAAATAAAGTTTATCGAGTTAATACGCAGTAAATATCGTTAATCAATCTAGGTTTCGCTGGTCGCAAATAACGATTACTAAAGAAAGCAATTTTACTAACTTTATACAAGTACGGAAACTCTTCCAACTTGCAAACGAAATGTAAAATTCTACCTTAATTGTCCGATAACGATCTTACAAGAACTTCATATATTGCCAAAGTACTTTAACCACTTATTCGTGATTATTATAAATGAGTTGAGAAACTTATACTTGGGCTTTCAATAATTACATTTTTATTTTGTTAACGGGTACAAAGATTTGTTGAATTCATCCAGCAAAATTTAGCGCGAGAGAGAAACAACGGCTACAAGGATATACGAACGTTGCACACAGATATTGAACGAACTTGCGACTTTAGCATTACTTTCAAAAGACGTTAATTTCCCCAAGTACATTCTCTGAACTAATCTTTTTCATGATTTGAAATCTTTAAATGATTCAAACTTAATTACACGGTTATACATATATCATGGCTATTCCGACACCGTTTAGCAAACGAGATGAAAAGAATGAGTTTTCTTTTACATCGAGAGACACACGGTTATATTTCAACCGAACAAAGTCCCAGGGATCGAAACGGCATCCCTACCACGTTTCGAAATGATCATCAAAGCTGTCTTCCGATCAAGATCACGTTACTCGGATGTTTGAATTCGACCAACGTTACCTCACTCTCTCTCGCGTTACATCAAAGAGAAAAGTAACGTAGAATATAAGAAAGGCCGATACACACGTCGATACCAGGTCCTTTTCCCGCCTTTGGATGGTTGAAACGCGTTATTTTTGCAAAAGTCGCTTAAGGGTAAGTATTGAAATAAAAAAAATTGCCAACAACAGAGCCGCGACCAAGGAAAATATAGCCACAAACTAGTATGGCGGAATGAAGTGAAACGATAACTCATGACGCATGCGGCGGTGAAATTCTCGCGGGAAATTCTGACAAACAACTCCTGTTGGCAGTAACGCAACTGGCTCGATGCAAATGCATAAGCGTGCACAAAGTTTTATACACGTTGATAGACAGGCAGCGGTTGCCTGCATGAAGAACGTATTAGTGTTGGGAATACGAATGGTGACTAGAAAAAATTATGCAATTATATCGAAACTTGAAAAATTATTGATGTACCATATAATATCTTTCGACACGCGTCCGCGTTTGATATCTATACCCTCAATAGTCATATTCCTTCAACATTCATATTACTTGTAATGCAGAAATATCCCCATGGAAATTTAATTTTAATAACAGATTCCTAACAGATTCCTTTACTTAATTTTAAAATAAGCAATAAAAAAAAGGTTTTAATATTTGAAAATTCAACTACCTATTTAAAGAAAATTCTTCACTTTTATACAAAAGATTTTCTAATAAATATATAAATATATATTAAAAATGGCGTATCTAATAATTTTACCGTTGCACAAATTTTCTAGATAAAATTTGTTCTAATTGAGAGAAGTGTGTCGCGTAACGTACAATGAAAAAAAAATATCCTTCCCTGGACTTCGTGTGACGATAAAAAATGCACATCCAGCAGAATTTCGTCGAAAAATTCCGAGTGCGTTGATACTCGAATGCGATCAATCGGCCGTAAAGAGCGACGCGAAAAAATAAATATGACAATGCAGACATTTTTATGAAATCTCGCGTCGCATCTCTCGGTTGCTCGTAATCAACGCTAGGGCTTTACTTTACTTCCACTTCTCATCGCTCTTTCTTTCTCCTTCTCCTTCCCCCTCCCCTCTCTCTCTCTGTCTCTCTCCATATTACGTTTTTTTATCACTATCCTACGCGCACTACTGTCCCATTGTTCCTCGGTAATTCTCCAAAGTAAATACCCGTAAAACATCATTTTGCGATACTTTATGTACTTATGCCACTTTTATATATGTAGGGCATCCCAAGGTGGTAGCGTACATGATGCAAGGCGGATTGCAATCGTTGCAAGAGGCGGTGCACTATGCCGTGCCTGTAGTCGCAATACCCTTTTTTGGAGATCAGTATTTCAATGCACGTAAAATCCTAGACGCCGGTATCGGACTGACACTGGACATCGACACCATAACCGAAAACGCCATCGTACAAACGCTCACGGAAATCGTCAAAAATAAAACGTGAGTATGACCTGATTCTAACACAGAATCGCAACAGAATAGTAACGTGATCTTTCAAAAAATTAATCCTGACGGTATTTCGCTCTTCGATAGCTATACTATTGAATCGTACTCATTTAAAAAAGTCTGAACAGAATCGAATTACTTATGATCTTTTCTTGTCAAATTATGTTTTATATAAACTAATATACAATAAGGTGATCGCCAATACGGTCCATACCAGTTTGTTTTGAATTGTATTTCTTTTAAATAGAAATCAAAAATAAAACTTTAGAAACAAATACAAACTAAAAAGTATTTCTTTAAGATGATATAACAGTTATATATTGTGTTTGCAATTTTGCAATAATTAACTTTTTCATAAGATAGTAAAAATAACAAAATAGTAGGCTAAAACATTAGACAGTAATGCCACACATAATTCTATTTTTCTTCTTTCACAATAGTTATCTGTGAAATATCCGTTATTTATTGTATGTGAATGAAAATTTTTATTTTTCTATAGAAATTTTTACTTCGATATAAAATATTTTGTTATTAATATACTCGTATTTTATGCTGTTGTACAAAACGCAAACATAAATAACGCGGCATTTTCTTTCTTTTGAAAATGCCTTTAACTCTGATAGAGCTATTTAATACAATAATGTTACATCATATAAAGATTAGAGTAGTCACATCGCAGCGTCGCAAGTGTTGCGGTTCAATGAACATCAAGTTTAGCTCGATTCTGATTGAATCGCAGTGCTTGTGACATGCTTGCAATGCTGCGATGTGACTAATCCAAAACCAGTCTAATGCGTTATTAGACGATATAATTACATTATCCTCAAATAATGTTTTTCAAGGAACAGCAAAAGACCAATTATAACTGTCAAAAGTCTTGATCAACTATGATATAATTATCATATTAGTAGGGGAGGCCGAGAGGCTAAATGTGGATTTACTCGAGCGTCGTGGGGACCTATTGAATTGTGAAGATTAGATGCTAAAAAGAAAAAAAGGTTATATGATGTATGCCGTTTCAGTGGTGGGGGGAGCGTGTATAGGCTTTCAAAAAAAAACAGTGACAATGAAATACTCGAGCGTGTCAGATATTAATAGTGTAAGCGACCCATGTGTTTCTGATAACGGATAAATATTAATCTGACGGTTTGCGTGGTGGAGTTAGCTGTAGGAAGGGGTCAAAAAAAGGGGGAAAAAAAAAAATTTCCTCGAGCGCGTCAGATTTTTGAAATGTACACTTTCCTACGTGTATTTTTCTATAGAAATTTTTACTTCGATATAAAATATTTTGTTATTAATATACTCGTATTTTATGCTGTTGTACAAAACGCAAACATAAATAACGCGGCATTTTCTTTCTTTTGAAAATGCCTTTAACTCTGATAGAGCTATTTAATACAATAATGTTACATCATATAACCCAAAATCCCCGCTTGGCCTCCCCTACTATATCTACTTTGTAAAGTAAAACAAAGTTGTCTTTAGACTTTAGAATAAAAACAATATTATTAGCATTGATTCGTAATCCTTCTTTTATGTTTAATTGTTTTATTCAACTGAGTCTGTATCACTGTATTTTATTTTATTAAATAAAATACATTAAAATTACGAAATAATTGTCAGCTATAACCTTAAGAATAATTAATGGATTAGTCGTAAGGGAATTATCGATGTCTACTATAGAATATATGAATTCGACATGTGACATGCCAAAATTGTAATTACAGGTATTTGAACAATATCAAAACAATGTCTGCGATAGTACAGGATGAATTAATGAAACCTATAGACAGGGCAGTGTGGCATGTAGAACACGTATTGAAATTTCCAAACTCGAGACATTTACGATATCATGGACAGGATATGTCATGGATTCACTATTATGCTACATATCTATACTTGGGTACAGATTTCGCTTTATTATTATACATCAGTTATATATTGTACAACAAAATTGTTAGTCCTTTTGTAACATACGCGAGTAACTTAAAACGATGGATAAGTAACTTGAAACGGAAACTCGATTAAATGTAAATGTACAAAGCAATGAAAAAAAATTGATTATATGGCAATTAAGAGAAAATTTCTTCGCATTACTTTCATACAAGTACTTTATGTAATGTTTATAATAAATAAATAAATAATACATTGTTGGTAATAGAAAGATGTTTTCCCAACCCAATATCATAAAAATGTCCTTATGTTTGTCAAATATCTTAATTATGTCCCCTGTTTGGGTATGCATGTTGTCTAGATTATGCGTGTAATTATTACATTTGTTTAATTTTTTGGTAAATATACATTTTAGGTGACACCTCGATCGACTTTAATGTGCTTTAAATACGTTGTAAGAAAGAGTGTCCTGATTCCCCACAAGAATTAAATGGAGGACGGCATTGGTTTAGGAGATATAATAAATTAAAATTAATAAATCCTTAGGGGACCTCGACTGTGATGATCTTGATCTTGACATAGAGGTGAAGGTACTGATCAACTTTTTCTTATAAATTAATTGGATAGTATCTTTTCTATCTTTTCTGCCCGGGCTCGATCCCATCACTATCAGTACTATCACACACATTGCCAAAACTTTCCAAATCTATACCTTCGTGAGGGAAAGTTCAAATAATCCAAATTTTTTTTTAATCCTTACTGTTTGGGACACATATGTAACAAATAAGGATTTATATATTTTTAAAAACTATTGCATATAAGTTAGAACCCTATATTATCTATTGTTGACAAATACCGACGGATAATGAGCAAAGTTAATGTATTTGAATCCAAAAGCTCCGATTGTGTAGTTTTAAGAGTTAAAAGCCGTAAAAAAAAGCCGTAAGAAATTTACCAATCATAATCGATTATTCTTCTCATATCCAACTATAATTGGCCAATTTCTTACGGCTCAGATCATGACTTACGATCATTCTATTGAATTATAGAACAGGAATAAGGGATTCTAAAGTCATCTGTATTATCAATTAAACATATAATTTTATATAACAATTATCTTTTTTCTCTTTTACGAATTCGAAAATTCTTTTCTAGGATTAAAATATATATATTAAAGAGATGCTGGAGTGACCAAATTATAGGACATTGTAGACCGATAAAATCTCCGAAATAACTGAACGGAGTAAAAAAAATCCTTTTAGGCTGCGTTCGGAAAAATCACCAGAGTACCCCCGTGTATCGTTTTATTCTTGTTTAACATTGAATGAACAACAAAAGGATAAGATGAAACTTGATGACTCGGGGAAACCTGAGTGATATTTCCGAACGCAGCCTGACGCAAAATTCAGAGGTGTTGTAATGCTCTTTATACTGACATTGAAAAAAGTTAAAAACTTACATTTTTTAACTCGTAGAGCTGTGTGTGTGTGCGTCCTGATGTAAATATTTCCATATTGTTCCATATGAATATTTCCTTATTTGTAACGCGTCCCGGGGGTGAAGACTGAAGAGTGTATTAAGTGCTACCAACCCATCTCTTGTACTCGCCGCTAGGTGCGGCAATCTCGAATCTCGATTCTCGATACTGGCCGTATCGACTCCGCGTCTCCGCGATTGGAGTCAGAGGCCATCCTCGTTAAAGAAGATTCTCTGCTCTTTGGTCACAATTTAAACGAGCATTTTTTCGTAATTCAGTACTTCAGTTTAATTGTATGATCAGATAAAATATTTTACTCCTATTCGTATACGATTACCGATAAACATCGTAAAGTGATTATTAAAGATGAACATTCTGTGCGTAAGCTAAGCGTGTCAGCCAATTTCCTTCTCTCAAATTTTTTTATGTATAAATAAAATCGTTAATAACAGTGACAATAAATCTTCACCTTCACGATGACTACGTTAAGTGGATTTATAGAATTCTTCCAGAAAGGCAAGGTAAAGACCGCTGTTAGTTTGTAACACAAATATAGATTAACCTCGAATTATAAAAGGCTTACTGTAAAGCTTACTGTAAATAATGAATTATCGTTTGATTTATTTTCTGATAAATATCTGATATTTTATTTCTACAATTTTCTACTTGTTATTGTAAAAATTGTTTTCAATTTCTGCAATTTCTGCATTCTACAAAAAATGTTTGTATATTTGTATATATGTATTGAAATTGCAGACATTTAGGCCGAAGAAAAAGTTTGCTCATGGAACATTGCGTTACTCTTTACACAAGCAAGCTCAAGCTTCTCTCAATTCTGGAATCAATCTAAGATCTGTTGTCACATTGCCACCAGGAGAAGATATGAATGATTGGATCGCCGTTCATGGTACAGAAAATGTTCAAATAATATAAAGATTTAAAGTTAAGATTAGAGAGTATCATTTTACTCACCCCAAAAAAACCAAGAGGGTTTTTTAGATTTTACCCGCTTAAAAATTGTACGCTCGAAATTGTGTTTTCTTTTTTGAGGTTTTATTGAAATTGTATTGAAGATCATAATCAAACACCAAACTTATAATAAATTTGTTTAAGCGTTAATTTTAAGCGCTAAATTTATCCATATAAATGTTAATATAGTTTATAGTATGTAGTATCATTGTTTCTTTCTTTATTTTCATTATAGAAGTGTTTTTTTATATTTGAAAAATTTATCATTATAATGCTTTTACAAAATTCTTTTATAATTAATTTTATTTAAATATTTAATTAAATAGATAATGATAAATACAATGTAAACTAAATATTACGTGAAAAAAATTAAATAATTTGATTTTAAAAAACCCAAAATTCCATTGGAAAATCAATAAAACCTAGTGGACTGAGCTTTTTTTTTAAATAATGTTTCGCTAACTTATAAGACGTAAATACTTTAATGTATAATATATTTCCTTGATTTTACTATTACTATTATATTAAAAAAATTTTTTTAATATTTTAATTCCACTTTTAAAAAACATCTCTATATGAAGAAAATACTGCAATTATATGTTTTTCCGGTTTTTTTTTTATAGTTGTAGACTTTTTCAATAGAATAAATCTTATATATGGCACTGTATCCGAGTACTGCGATTCAGCGTCTTGTCCAACAATGAGTGGTGGAGCACGTTTTGAATATTTGTGGGCAGACGGTGAAAAATATAAAAAGCCTACAGCATTACCAGCGCCTCAATATGTTACCCTTCTTATGGATTGGATTGAAGCTCAAATAAATAACGAAACGGTTTTTCCAGTATCAACAGGTTTTACATTTGTTTTACAATACTATTTGATATAGATATTTAATGACTTTTAATTTAATCCTATTTTATATTTTATTATAATTTTATTATAAATGTATAATTTTATTTATTTCTAGATGTGCCATTTCCTAAAACGTTTGTGCCACTATGTAGAAAAATCTTGACGCGCCTTTTTAGAGTCTTTGTCCATGTGTACATCCATCATTTTGATCGCATTGTAGCAATAGGAGCAGTAAGTATATTAAAATATTTAAGATACTTTTAGTATTTTACTAGATGACTTAATTTAAACTGAAACGTTGGGAGAACATTTTTTATTCGAATTCATTGAGGAATTAATTCATTTGGAATTCATTAAAGAATTAATTCATTGAGGAATCAATTTATTGATGTTTACGTTATGTCGAATTCGTTTAAATATATTATTATATATTATAGATGCAATAATAACTAGCATGGCTCATTCATTATTTGACTTAAATTTTAATTAGCTAAGCCTATTACTTTATCTAATTTTTAATATAATATTTTAGGAAGCACACGTGAATACATGTTACAAGCATTTCTACTATTTTATAACGGAATTTGATTTAATCAATTCTAAGGAATTAGAGCCGTTAGCCGAAATGACTTCTAAAGTTTGTAAGGATAGTGTTTCTCCTACTCAAAGCACAGCACCATCAACCAATCAAGGCAGATAGTTATTTCGTAGTCATATTTGATAAACTTGTTAATTTCAAGTTATAGTAGAAGAACAAACTTCCAAAGAGATACAGAAAAGGAAATCATGATAAATGTACTCATTTCATATGATATAATATAGTTTGTGACATTTTAATTATATACTTCCTGTATACTTCACTATATGCTTTTTAAATAATTTGTTGCAAAAGATATCAGTAACATTTTTAAAGCTTCTTATGTGATTTGTCTTATTAAAAAGATGGTATTAAGTATAAAGATTGTGTTAAGTTATTAGTTATATATTTGAAAATATAAAATGTTTTTTATATAAAAAAATATAATAAAAGTGCTAATGAATCAAGCTAGTTGTATAAAAAATTTTTCTTTTATAAACATAAGTAGACAACAAAATTATAAGTAAATATAAGATCATAATATTTTTCACAATAAATTTGTACAGGTTTGAAAAATGCTAGTAATCAAATTGATCCAATTTAATTTGATTGATGAAAAATTATTATTCAATACTTGATTATGTTGCAAATTTAAAAATAATTGGCGCACAATCATATATCTAAAATAAAATGTATTTAAAATATGTATAAAAATATTATTCCAACTAACTTTGGCTATAATGACGATAATAAATGTCGATAATAAATTTCGATAATAAAATAACTTTTTCAAATTTAATTAAAAACAGTGATTATGTACATGTGTAAAAAATATGAATTGTTCTCTTGGATGTAAAAATGTTAAGTTGTACTATTAGTAATTGTGTTTGTCATTCTAACTGATATCAGACAGTAATCAACATTGACAGATATTGTGTATGTTATATAGATAGATATTACTTTCCATTAAAAAAAATAACATCCACATGTAATATTTTTTAATTTTATCTGTTTGTTAAAGATGACTAACATTTAAGATCGAAATGACTGATTTTGTTATCTACGTCTGTTTATAAAATTTGAATTATACTAGCACAACTAATTAGCTTGGCCTATTAGTTATCTTTTTATTTCTCTTGATTATGATTTAATCTTTTATTTCTATTAAATCTTACAAATAATTATTTATTTTTATTTCTTTTTCAAATATTTAATTCCAAAAAAATAGTCATGGTGTACGATGTATTTTATTTTTACATTAAAAACACCTTAATAATAATATTATAATTATGCTTAAAGTATAGTGATAGGTGCAATACTTAATAAACTGTCATATATCTATATTGTTTCCAAAATTAATAATTGATATATACTCAATATTTATATATATTGTTTAAATTACTGTAATACAAAAGTTAAATCTTAAAATTTCGTTATTATACGATATTAAATATTTAAATTTTAGGTTGAAAATATTTTGTTAAATCTTAATTTTATTCCTTCTAGCTTTTAAATTTTGTTTCTTTTTGCATTACAAGATATTTTATTAAATAATTATACATATAATGTACATTTTTTTATCCAATTCTTTAAAATTTAATTATACAATTTTCTTATTGTACCTTCTATATGAATCTTCTTTAGCGTACTAGATATAGACATTTGATATACAAAGACACTTCCCTTTTTAATAAATATTATATTATATAAATATTAATTATACAAAAGAAACATGGAAAACTTTAATGATTGCCAAATAATAGAAAATTTATAATGCAGTTAACAATTAGTAATTCAAACATTTATTCATCCTTGAATACAAAGCTTATTTAAATTTGCACAGCATATGTACAGGATATTTCCGTGTTATACTGCCAAATTTGAAGTATGAATTTAGAATACATCAAAAATAAACGAAATTTTCCTCGCAAACGATTCGATTAGGGGGCTCGCATATACTTTTCATAATGATAATCGTAAAACCCAATAACATGCGAGCTCTTTATGTGTAGTCTACAGTAACAATAGTAGTAATAGTAGTGGATGAGACTGTAAAAGTAAGAAAATGGCCAATCTCACAGTCGAATGTGAGAAGAATAATCGCTACTGCTATTATAGACACGTATTAAGTATTTTTATGTACCAGAGCGCAACAATTTTGTAACCGTTTTATGATTGTTAGATAACTTAATTTACAAAACTATAGGAATGAATTTTGACATTCATTCCTATAGTTTTGTAAATTAAGTTATCTAACATTACTGCGAAGCAATAAAGAGGATAAATCTAGATTTCGACATCTAGATTTATCCTCTTTATTGCTTCGCAGTAATTAAAATGTAATTATTAAATGTTTTGTTCAAAATAATAGCCTCCAATTTTGAAATAAGCATTAATTGCATTAATGAGAGAATGAGTAACTGATTAACATTGTGCATCTATATAAATTCTTTGCACGCTTGCATTATCCTCTATTTTAATGATTGAAAAATAGTAATAAAATAAAGAAAATATCATTGCTCATTTCTTACTACTAGATTAAATATTTTGCAATAATATACAAGACCATGAATAATATAAGACAAAGAAACATTGCTCCAAATTTTTGTAAATATCTAGGACATTCTTTTTGTACTATACATTTAAAATTCTAACATTTCTGTTTCATAAGCTTTATAGACGTAACAAATTTGCATATTATTTAATGTTTGAACTTTGAAATAATAAAGCTTTAATATGCAATTAATATAGAAATAAAATTTTCTTTTTAATATATTTATAATCTATATTATATATAAATGAAGAAAAAAATATTATTCACATTTTTTCGCACAATCATATATGCCAAAGATTATTACGTTGGTAACACAATTAATTTTTTTATAATTTTATTATAAGTGTATTAATATATATACTTAAATTACATAATGTATATTATATACATTTTATGATTTAATTCTTAAGTACAGATATGCAATTTCTCAAATTGGACCATGTTCCTACTTGTTTTAATTATAAAATTGATCATATTTCATCTTTACTTTTATGTTTTTTTAAGCAGGTAAATAATATTTATCTCAATTAACGAACAGATTACAGAATTCATTGAACTATTTAATCGAAATGTATGTCTGTATTTAAGATTAAAAATTTATATTAAACATATTTAAAATTATTATAGCATTATTCTTATATACAATGATAAATACAGTTTATACTATATTATAATATTTTCTCATATACTATGATAAATACAGACAGTCCAGAGAAAAGTACAAATACCGATTAAAATATTCAGCTTCCTTTGTATCTATTACTAGATAATTTGTAACAGCATAATTGTGTGTATTGTATAAATAAAAATATATCATCTATTTGTTGCTTATGCATGCGTTTTTAATACATTATTAATTGTTTTTATATAGAAATTATTGATAGATAAATCAATCCCTAAAAATTATCATATATCTTTTGTAATCGTTCATTTGCTGAGTTTTCTAAATATTTAGAGATGAGATGATTGTATATCTTACTATTATCGATTAACTAAAAGTATTAAATGTTTTTTTTTTACTAACGAACAATGGGAATAGTATAAAAATAAAATGTTGAAAAAAAACAAATATTTTCTCAGTATAAAGGATGTAATTATTATAAAATAAAAAATTTTTAGAATCATGTCTTTTATATGAGAAATGTAATATTAAATTAACAATCACTAATGATCGGATACTCCTAATGTTACTTAATATTGAGGATACACTATACCATCTGAAACGTATTTTCAATTATGATTTATTTTCGCCAGACAATATACATTAATAAATATTTATTTGATAAATATATGGTAAAATAAAACTACAATCTCATATAGGGATGTAATTTTTATATTTGTTAGAAACTGTATTATTAGTATTTTTTAACTTGCACGGATATTTTATCAGAAGCATACATATGTATATCGTAGTTTCATTTTATTTCTAATTAATATACTAAAATTTATTAATAACTGCTTGAAGATAGTTACACTTTGAGCCAAAACATATCTGAACGAATAAGATTATAATCTGGTAAATTTTCAACAGGACCAACTGCTGTGACCACTGGACAGTGATCGAAAATGTATTTCATGCTAACATTTTGAATATTATATATATATATATAAGATATATTTTCTAAAAATCTTCATAAAAAAGATTTTGTTACAATAAATTACATGTTTACTCTTTTTGTACTAAATATTTATACTTTGATACATCTTACGCACGCACATGCAGAGTGATATAGACATTTAAAAAAGTTTCCTCATAATATCGTCTCTTATGACAATATTTTGATTCTCATACAATAAAAACTACATACATCTATCCTCATTTCGAGTTCATGGAGTGGAATACGGCGATTATAACAAAGCATCTGTCGACCGATATCTTCACAAATGGCAGTAGTTCCGTCCAATTGTAAGAACATGTTGGTTTTCAGAATGTTCTTTGCACGTGCTACATCTTTCTCAGCAATCGACGTACACAATTTCATCCATTGTTCTTGAATATGAGATAACATATCTTTACATTTCATAGGATCACAAACAAAATATATACCCCAGAGTCCTGTATCCTGCAATATTAAAAAACAATGTATTCATTGATTCGATACACATTAATTATTATAATCATGTTTTACATGCAAATTAGTTATTTTAGGCTTGATTTTTTATTTGCTGGTTAATTTATAGTTAAACTTAACCTGATGTTTTATCCAATGTGCTTTATCTATAATGATTTCATAAGTCAAGTCCATTGGATGAAACACCAGGTTCAGTTTATAATCATAAGTTAATTAGCAAATGAAAAACCGGGCCTTATTTAATACATACTTTGTAACATGTGTTAAAACTTTGATAACTGTGGCACAAGCCTTCTTCTGCACAAGCTCTAGCTAAATTACTAGCATTGTTTACACCTCCTCCTTGACTACGATCCCATCCTCCTAGAAGAGTATTCGCGACCATAAGAGGAATGTTGTCTGCCTCAGCCCATCCAGCACCTAAATAAGCATTCACTCGTTATTTCTATAACATGTTACAATTCATTCATAATATTAATTAGTACAATACCTTCAACAGCGATCGCAATATGAGCGAGAGGAATCGAATCATCACGAACTCTTATATCAGAACCAGTATAGCGACTTGCTTTAATATAATCTGGTATAACATCATAGTCCGGTCCTGTCATTTTACCGAAATGCTTATCGGCAAGCTCGATTAATTGATTGTGATCTACACCACCAGCACCAGCCAGTACAAATCTAAAAAAAATAACATTTAATTTTCTAATAATAAATATTAACAACATAAATCAACGAGAATTTTACCTAGGCGGTCCATAATGATTTTTCACATAATTAACAAGATCATCTCGCGAAATACTTTTGATATTTTTAGTAGGTCCCAATATTGTCCGTCCTAAGGATGTACCTTGATATGCAGCAGCATGCAAATGGTCAAATACAACTTCTTGCAAGTTTGTTTCAACTTCCTGCATTTCGCGTAAGATAACACCACGTTCCCTTTCAATTTCATTTTCACCTAGCTTCGAATTTTGTATAATATCACTGAGAATCTCAATAGCTTTTGGCACATCCTGTGACAAGCATTTTGCATAAAAGACTGTTTGTTCTCGACTTGTGTAAGCATTCAGATGTGCTCCCATATTCTCTATTTCTAATTCCAAATCAGTTTGAGATCGTTTAGCAGTTCCCTGTAAACAATAGATTCTAGTATCACTAAAGTTAAACATAAAAATCATATAAATTTTACAGCCTTAATCATAAACATAAGCATTATCAATTTAGTCAATTTTTTTGGAAAAAGCAACAATAAAATTCAAAGAAAAAAGCTAACAAAATATATGTATTAAATAGATGCAAAAATAATATCGATTTTTATTATTTTAACCTTTGGAGTTCTATTCTACAATAAGGATATGTTTAATCATGTTGATGTTATATCATTTTCAATTGCAGATTCTGGTTTGTTAATTTTGCTAGTAATTTTGTTTTCAATGTTAACTGTGTGGTTAATTATCATTATTATTAAATATGAAAAAGAAGGAATTCCGAAAAATTTTTTCTTAATATAAATTCAAACTAGATTTTAAAACAGCAGAAATGAGTCAAAAAATTAATAAAACATTCAGCTAGTAAAATTATAAATAAACGAACGGTATAATGATGTTTAAAAAATTTCATAACAAAGATGTCAGTCTTGAAAATGGAAAGGGAGATCGCCTGTAGTTATTAACAATGACCTTAAAGGCAAGTATTGAAATGGATTTATTAAAAACCACTCAAGAAATTCCACAAGAACTAATCAATCAACAGTTTTTGATCAATCAACAGTTTTTGAACAATCAATAGTTGTTCATTTTAATTGAATCAGGTAAAAAACCGACATTATTGTTGCATCAACCTAATAAAACTGTTATACAAATATATTCCAATAAGGCCTGATTTTTCATTATCTGATTAATTTGTAGTTAAGCTTAACCTGATGTTTTATCCAATGGGCTTCATCTATGGTGATGTCATGAATAAAGCTCATTGGGTGAAACATCAGGTTAAGCTTAACCACAAGTTAATCAGATAATGAAAAATCAGGCCTATAACTATTTTTTAATCTATTTTTATTAAACGTAGAACTTTACATTAATTTTTGAAGATGTTTTACAATCTTATAGTCATTAGTCATTATGTTTTCTTATTCAAAATTTACTCTAGTTTGATCATACATAAATCATAACTCTAAAATTTACACTAAAAACCACAAATATCATTTTTTATTAGTGATATTAGTTAGTTTACCTTGAAAGCCATGTGCTCCATGAAATGAGCAACACCATTGTTTTCATCTGTTTCATATCGACTGCCAGAATCTATCCAAAGACCAACAGTAGCTGTTGCAGCTCCACTATCTTCACTGGCAACTCTCATTCCACTGTCCAAAGTCGTAACTCTCGTAGCTGGTTGATTGATAAGCAATTCTTTCAGAGAAGCAGCAGTTGACTGCCATTGTTTTGGTATCTATAAGAGTATCATTAAGCAAGTCCAAGTAATATAGTTTCCATTAAAAAATATACAACTTATCCAAATTCAATTTACTATAACATACTTATATCTAACTTATCTGACATTATATCTGACTTAAATTACATCTGTCAAAATAAATAAAATGTAAACATGAAAGAGACCAATATTTGACTGTCCATTTCTACTAATGCAGATTAACTTTAATCTCGGTTTAATTTGCTTTTATCTTTTTCCAGATATAAGAATTAGAAAAATAAATTAATTAAATCGAGATTAAAATCAATCTACATTGGTAGAAATAGATATAAATAAGATTATGTACCCGAGGATATGTATTCAAATGCATTTCAAACTTCTTCATTTTATTAAGTTTTAATAATAAAATAACATAAACTACAGTCACACAGTTTTTGAATATTATACATTATAATTAAAATATTTATTTTTTTTTCTTATTACGTAAGAGGAAAGTATGAAATGGACGAATCTCCAATTCAACTTAAACGCAATTATAAATGGATCGATTAGAAAGCCAAAATTGTTATTATAACACAATGACTATACATCGCGTTTTACCTTTACAAGGCTGGTTTTATTGGAATATGGGCGAAGAACACTCTTAATCTTTAGCAAACGCGTAGCCATTTTTCCGATTTAACAAATTGACGGAATAATGCGGAATAGAACCAAACTGGTGAAAGTGAAACTGAAACGTCTGAAACATGAAACACAGAGATTATAGGGTGTCTTCTTAACAAGCGATATGTCGCTTGTTGGAAGGCATCCACGAATGACTGGCATCATGTGTGGATTTGGGTATTTGACGCCAATGTTTGGCGTCAAAACGATTATCATATTGTAATGTTGGCGACATATATTAAGTTGATTATTAAATACATTAGTAATTGTGTTCTTCTGAATTGATATTATATCAAAGAAATGATTATTCACGAACTAACAATAAATTAATATACTTTCAATAACGCGCCAACGCATTGACGTCGCAATGCTCAAATCTGTATGTTTGGTGCCAGCCAATCACGAAGTAGCTAGTCGCAGGATCAAGTTGGCAATTCTCTCGCCAGGTTCTCTAATCTAGTAGTATATATAAAGTCTGTGGTTTCTTCTACGATGTTCTTCACGGACTGACGGACTTGCCATATTCGCCATATTTTACAGATCGAACGAGGTCTTCGGTAACGCCATTTGTGTGCGCGTCACGTTAATATTTCTTGCGCCGTGCATTCAGCAGCATTCAGCGAGCCTTGGAACAATAAATATAGAGCGTTGCGGCATTCCTTGCCATCGTTTATTTGGAGATTGTTGAAAATTAACTCGTACGGACTAAGACGAGGAATCATTGAAGCTGGTAAGATTTATTTAACGTTATGTGTTGAGACTGCTGAGGTATTGGCATACTCGCGCGTCGTGGCTTCATCGAGACATGCGGTCCGAACTACGAATTTTTAATCGAACGAAATACAGCGAACGCATCGCTGGGACGTTCGTTAATCTGCGCTTTACGAAATCATTGCCGTTCTATATAAACCCCATTGCTGTCACAGTTTCATAAAAAGTTGCTGCATTGTATCGACTTCTATTTCTTCTTCTTTTTTTTCTGCACATTTAAGAAAGTAGTGATAAACGAGGAATCTAAATTTAAGTTTTAAAATAAAAGGATATTTTTAGTTCTGTGTTTCAGTAATGTATTTATGATGTATATGATTATTGTAACAAATTTTATAATTCTTTGTTTCTACTAGGTTCAAATATTAAAGGAATTAATTTTCTTAAAAGTAGTAAAAAATATTTATTTAAAAATATTATCTATTAATTTATACATTTCTTTGAAAGTTTGGGAGATTTTTTTTGGAAGTTTATACTCTTCAAAGAAAATTTTGGTTCAGTATGTATTCAGTTTTTAAAATAACATTTGCAATGTACATTCTCAATAACTTTGCTAATTTATTTTGGACACATTTACATCTTTGACTATACAAATATATAAATACTATATAAACATAACTTATTTATTTTTATATATCATATATTAAAATGTACTTGTACATATGTATGAAAAGAGAAACAGTAAAATTAGAATTAATATTTGAAACATTTTAAAATCTTGTTAATTATGTATAAAACAATTATGGAAGCTTTTCAACAAGCGATACAGATGACAAAGTAATCACTTTGTTTTTGTTCAACTCTAGCTATACACACACTGGAGTCTTGGAAATCCCAGTGCAATTTGCTAAATCGAGATTTTTTTCATGTTTCTGAACTTTTCTTTTTCTTTGAACTTATATATCTCAAGACTCTTTAATTCTATCAACTTTTATACATGGACTTGTTCCTTAATTCTTCATTAATTAAAAAAAGAAAATTAATTGAAATATGTCCATTTTTATGGAAGTTACAGTAACAAATATGGATGGGGTCTCAAAAAGACCTGAGTAATTATATCAAGAATACAAAAAAACAATGTGTATAGTTAGAGTTAAGATTAGCAAACAACATGTAATGATTTGTTATACTGTATTATTTGTTGGAAATCTCATTATTTTTACTTATTTGAAATATTCTGTACAAAAATAAAATTTTTGTAATTATTAAAGATATATGTAGAGAAGAATGATTTTGTTTTCTTTTTCAGAAATTGAATAAATGTGCAAATAACATGTACAGCAATAATATCGACCCATGGGAGCCTGGCTATGGGCCAGAAAGAAGAAGTCACAATTCCGATTATGACTACCGCAGTGATTATGGAAACAACAGATCACCAGAATATTCGGAACATCGTGACGTTGATCATCGTGATAGAGATCATCGTAGTCCGGATTACAGAAATCATCGTGGAAGAGACCGAGATCGCGAAAGAGATCGTTCGAGAGATAGGAGAGATCGTAGCAGAGACGATCGTGATCGCAGCTATAGGGATCGCGAAGATCGTTACGGGAGACAAAGAGATAGGGACTCTGTGGAAAGAGACAGGGATAGAGACAGGGACAGGGACAGAGATAGAGACCGTTCCAGACGCGACAGGGATCGGGACAGAGATAGGGATCGTAGGGGGAAACGGGAAGATCGCGATCGCGATCGCGATGACGATCATAGTCGAGAAAGTTTGGACTTCGAACAAGATCATGGTCGTGCCTATAGTTCGTCCATGGAGGGAATCCACTACAAATCGCAATCACCCAACAACACCATAATGATACGTGGGCTCGCTCAGCATATTACTGAAAATGACGTAGGTTGTCAACTTTGTGGCCTATCATAGTGGCCACTCGTGAGCCAGCATTATCGAGCATTTGCTCCATTATTATTATTATTATTATCTGTGTATCACAGGTGCGGCAAGACATCCTCAACTGTGGTCTTATGCCTAAGGATATCAGGTTGATACGGAAAAAAGATACAGGTAACTATTACATTGTATTAAAAATCAACATCCTTGTAATATCATTATTACGCATCCTAATTTAATTGCTATTTGTAATATTATTCGTATCGTTAGATTTATACAACCTTTGGTGTTTACCAAATTGTAAATGAAACAAAAAAATTGTATTGTACAGATTTACAAGAGTTTCTTACAAATTGCTACTTGTTAGAGTTTTAAGTTTATCATATTTCTTGATATCATTTGTATATATTTCCCAAAATATTGGGAAATATGTACAAGTGATATGAAGAAATTTAGCTATTTTATTAATTATTAATTATAAGAGGTAAGTATAGAGAAGTATGGGAGAGGAATTTGCAAAAAAAGATCATTAAGCTATTAAGATCACTTGAAATAACTCAATAAAAGCTTTATTAAATTTTCTTAATACAATCTAAAAAGATATTTAAAAAAAGATCTTGCATTTTACATTTGAATGATAGATTCGCGATTGTTTCAGAAGTAGGGGTAATATAATTTACATTTATAATAGTTGAAACATATAACAATTCTTCAGTTAGGATACTCTTATTACATATGGAGACATTATTTTAATAATATAGCTTCTTTTTTTTCTCTTGTAACATGAAGTTTCAAAAAAACTTGAAAAATATTTTAAAGTATAATAAAAAAATAATATATATGCACATATCAACTTTTTGTTAATTGATGTTTTAAAAAATTAAGTTTTTTTTCACTGCTTGTTGAATTTTTCTTGCTTTTAAAACTTCAGATTACAAGTGAAAATAAAATGATATTGTAAATTATTAAAATGATGTCTTACATTAATCTATAAATTGAACTGCTACTACAAATTGTAAACAGTATATGGTTAATATACGTCTGGGTTCGGTTACTATTGTCGGCGTTTTTTTTTTTAATTCGCAAAAAGTCTTTACGTCGTGCTTGTCTGTTTGCGTAGAAGGGTAAAAGAAGGCTAAGAAATTTTTGTCTCGGTCAGACAAAGACTCGGCGTTTAAAAAAAAAAAAGAAAAAATCTCGTAAAAATTATATACTATCCCGTACATATCGGTGAACTGCGGTCTCTCGCACAAAATTCGTTCTACTGAAATTTAGGTAAATGGAAAATGAAAGCAAGCGACGAAGCGAAGAGACACTTCGTTTGAAACTCAGTCTGTCAATGGTCGGTGCTGATTGCCTGCCCTCTCAGAGTAGAGAAACCCAGGCAAAAACGTCGATTAACTCTGGATATGTGTGTATTTGCTCTGTATAGGTGCTTCGCGAGGTTTCGCATTCGTCGAGTTTAACGCGACTCAGGAGGCCGCACGATGGATGGAGATGAAACAGGTAGAAAGAAGTTCGGTCCAGATACCCAACCGATGCGTTGTTGCACGCGTGCCACCGACTGCCCCGTGGCGGCAAGGCACGGTAACGCAGCCCTCTGGCCCTCCCCGTGGCCACGGCTGTGCACCTATAAAAAACTATTTCAATCTACCGTATTTAATTATTTATCTAGGAATCCCCACATATTTTGCAGACTTTTTCTTAAACTCGCTCGCAATACTCGCGCAATTTGGATTTAGTTTGCGTTTGTCATTCCGTCGGCGTCGCGTGCTTTTACATATCTAAAATTCACGGATTAACTGTAAAGGCCGGAGGAGGGTCATTCCAGTCGTTTTTTATATACCGTTTTGATTGCATATTTTCTGTTCGGCACGTTACTTATTTCGAATTACGATTTTTGCTACTCGCGTAATTCGCTTTTTATTGTACTATTTATATCTTTGCTTCTTCTATTTTGCTTAGTTCTTAATGCAATTACTTGCGACGTTCAAAGTCTCTATGGAAATTTATGCAGAAAAGAATTTTTTATTCGTACATGAAAATTTATTACGCGCAAGCAATTCACGTATTGCTTGCCTGCACTTTCTTGTTTAAAATTTAAATTATCTACATAAAATCGCGCATGAACAAGTCAGTCTGCAAGCGGTGTGGAATGGCCCATGTTAATAAGCCCATGAGGCTTTGTTCGCTGTTTGAGACAGAAAGCTATGAAGTAGAAAACTATAATTTCGTCAACCAAGAAGAAAGTTTACGGGAAAGAAAAGAGGCCTTAGGAAGACGTTGGACGGGATAACACTGAAATTCTCTGTTTCAGGGAGTGCTGATGCTGCAGGATCAATATCGTGCACTGATGCAGTACAGTATACCGAAAGAATGTCATGTGGATAAACCGCCAGCGAAGAATACGCAAGATTGGCATTGCGTTAAGGTTCGTATCACAAATT